CTGTATCACCGTCAAACCGAAAGCGCCAAGGGTTCGTTGCATGGGCCCCTCACGCCTTCATTCTTGCTCGTGACCAACTCCATGTTCAAAATGTTCATGTTTCGATCCGGATCTGGAAATTTTCTGAGATAGCGGATGGCGAAGCGGCTGGTGCAACAACTCGTTGCGTCCCAAACGAACCTTTCCGTGCAGTCTTCTGGCATCCAGACTGTCCATCACCTCATGAGCATGCGACGGAGTTGGCACACTGGGTAATCGTGACCACCACGAGAGCCTTGCACGGAGAAATCGAAACCGGGCGACACAGCCCTGATTAGACTCAGTGTTGATGACGAGAGGTCGATGACGAAGCAGAGCTACAAGCCGACCGAGATCAGCAGATTCTTCAAGAGGCCATCCAAGTTCTTGAGTGTTTCAGTGTTGAGCAGGGTGAAGGAGATTCCTGCTTGGTCGGAGCTGCCGTGATGCTCGCAGCCGCGGGCGCGGCCGCAACAAGGACGAAGAGCTGGGAGGTCACTCCTGGCCTCTGCGAGCAAGAAGCCTGCCAACTAGCCGTGTCTCACCATGACTTGTGACGTGTCTGTAGGCTCCGTGCCCATCCTGCCAGGCTTGTCTCCCGGTCTCTGGTGCCCCAATGCCGCCCAGCGAGGGTCCGCCCAAGGAGTCTTTAGGGCTCGCACATCAACGCGGTTCATGATCTTGTGAACCGTGCCGGGCGCCGGGAGGATGCTGACGAGTACCTGCGCCAGGTGCAGTGGGAGAGACTCCACTGTCCGGAGGCCGATGCTCAGGAACAACGCAGGCTGCAAATGTACTCTACCCCGCCCAATGCTGCTGCTACGCTGCTACCACCACCGCATCGACTGCTACGACTACTAGCACGAGTGCTCAGGCTCCTACGAACACCCATCCCACTCCGACGACGACTATTTCTCCTTCTGCTGCTACAGCTTTTTCAACCACTACTACCACGACCACGACGACGACGACTATTCGTAGGCTTACTCATCGAACTAGTCCAGGAGTCCAACTCCGGCACCTCAGTCGTATCTACACCCAGTAGAGTCGCGCTACCAGCACCAGCAGCACGCACTGCATAGCTCAAGCGGAGACTTCAGCTGGGTTCATGATATGGAGAACACAGCATGGAATGGAAGATGTAATTTGTGTTATTTGCATCAACTGCTAGAGGATACTCTCAGCAGAGCTTCACAGGCACAAGTCGGAGCCTCAAGCGAGATTGCACAGAGAGGTCGTTGACGTCGATGTGAAGGAGCGGAAGTCGAAGCGCAAGGTGACTTGACTGCAGGTCGTCAAACCCAACCCGTGATGTAGCCGTGTTCGATGCATCTGCTACAGCATTCAAAATCTCTAACGGCTAGCAAGGCAGCGCCTAGCAGCCTAACGTGCACAGATGCAATGCAGACCGTGCAGCATGCCAAGATTGGCATGAGAAGACAGGATCCCATGCCATCGGACCTTTAAAGCTTTCCGAACCTGGAGGGCCAACAACTTTGGGCCAGTTTACGGGCGGGCTGCCGGAGTTGTGCTTCTTTGAGGTCGATGGCCCCCTGAGCGGAAAGGACGGCTCTGGAGGTCTGCTCGCGCTGTTCCAGGCACCCGATGTGCCAGCCCGCTTCCGCCATGCAGAGGCCTGGAGACTATTCCTATTCCCGGATGCAGAAGCGGAAGAAAGTCCGATAACAAAGGATCGGGAAGGGTTTTTCTATCACCTTTTGCTACAGCCTAGCGTTTCTTCGATCTGGGCTTTCGGAAGCAGAGACGCAGTCTACAAGCAACTACTTATCGGAGCCACTCTTAACAGTTTCAATGCCTGAGCGAAGGGGTTGAAGGCGGCCAGCTCGAAGGGGGGAACCCCGAGTTGGGGTTGGGGTTGACCCGCATCGAAGAAGAGACATGCTGTAGAGCCGGCAGCCGCGACAGCAGCAAAATCTCGCACATTGAAGGCAAGGCCAGTCTCCAATAGAGATAGGGCGAGGGAGAAGGAGCTTAATGCTAGACATGATGAAGCATTTGCCCATTTCTTCGACAAGCTTGGCGGTGGTGAGTTGAAACGTCAGATGGGGGTATCGCGCGCTCTTCAGAAGTTCTGAGAGGGCTGGGTAGCCGGGCGGTTCTGCCTGATGCTTGATGGTCTTTTGTTTTAGGCGTGGGCCTCCGATGTCGCCGCTTCGTTTCGGCACCTCCGCGGGCTTTGTGAACTGAAGCGGAAGTCCGGGAAACGGCCGCAATCGCTCTCCTACGAGGTTTCTTGGCTGCGCTTGAATTCATCTCAAGCATGAACCAAGTCAGGCGGAAAAAAGAAAGAAGCCTGTGGTGATCGTTACGGGGAATGCGCAGACATGTCACATGTCGGTTGAACATTTGGGTAGAGAAGCACCCGAGCGCAAGCGTCCCGGGCGTGATGCGAACCATCAGGATACTTTTTCGCACAGAAGAACTCTGTACAGTCAGATTTTCCATTCACGCCCCGCACATGGGGCTACCTCTACATGAGTTTCTGCTCAGGAGTAGCTCTTGCGACTTCGCAACGCTAGAGATCCACAAAATGTAGCCTGTTCCATTCAGCAAAGAACCTTCTCCAGGAGTGGCGGCGGCATGTCGCAAAGGATCGGCCAGACTCGCAGCTGCTTGCAGCCCAGGATTTCGTTGGAATCAACCATCTCGTGGTGCCTCGGCAGACTGCAAGGTTTAACATGGGGGCTCCATGATCAGCCTAGAAGCTTGTGTACGAAATCCCAACTTACAGTGCTCACATCAGTGCTGCAGAGGTGGTGGCCATCGACAAGTTCGAGAAAGACCTAGAGCGTCTTGTCATGCCCAAACCTATACAAGCCTGCTCAACTGCATGAGTTGGCTGAAAGCCTGGGCCTAGGTCTTTTCAGTGTGCCTCGCCCGAGAGCGACGATGGCTTCCTCTCTGGGTTTCAGGGCGAAGGCCCGGCAGCAGTTTGGCCACAGGTGCTTTGCTTCGAAGTACGATGATGTTGTTGAGGATGATGGTAATGGTAATGATGATGACGACGATGATGATGGTGATAGTGATGGAGATGGTGGTTCACGGCCGTTGCTGAAAATGTTGCTAAGCTTGTTCTGATTCCGAATGTGGTGGTTGCTGTTGGTGTTGGTGTTGGCGCTGTGGTGTCAATGGTGGTGTTGGTGGTAGTGGTGGAAGTGGTGGTGGTGGTGGTGGTGGTGGTGGTGGTGGTGGTGGTGGTGGTGGTGGTGGTGGTGGTGGTGGTGGTGGTGGTGGTGGTGACGGTGGGGTTGACGGTGGGGTTGACGGTGGGGTTGGTGGCGGCGACGGCGGTGTTGGTGGTGGCCTTCTGCTGCTGGTGGTGCTCGCAGCGGGTTTTTGTCACTGCCGTTACCATTGTTACCGATACGGTTGTTGGCGCTATTACTGTGGCTGCTGCAGCATTTGCTGGGGCTATTACTGTCAAGTTTCTTCGACGACGACTGCACCCACCACTATGACGAAGCTCCGCCATACTCTCATGCGCAAGGCTTGCACCTCCTGTTTTTTTAGCATTGGATTCGCATCTCAACTGACTTTGACCAGGGGTCGATTCGGTCAGCGAATGGATATTTGCTGCGCTGGCGTTTGTGGAGGAACCCTTGGTCGTTCGGCCCCCAGCTCTAAAGCTGAGACTTGGTTTTGCAGAGGGTCCTTTCTTGGGCATCTCGCGATGGTACTTCGAATGTCCGTGCTCTTTGCAGACATGCTTTGTGTTGCTGCATGAGGAAACATTAAGCACCGAGTTTGGCCGTGGGCGGTTGGCTTCAGACTGCAGTCCGTTTGTTTCATATCTCCTTTTGCACGATTGCCAGACTTGCTCATCGAGCAGCTGTTCACCAAGGACGACATTCAGTATCAGCTGCAGCGGTTGCGACGCGTTTGCTGCCGCTTCGCCGCGGCCGTTGAGGGGACAGCAGCGAAGGTCCCGTCAGCAAAGCCGTGAAAAGGGTTGAGTCGAAGGCTTGTTCTGGTTCTGGATTCGGGCCTTCATGCATGAAGGCCCATTGCAAACCTTCCTTATGCCGCCGCTTCCGTGAGAAGCTCGAATTTGGCACGACTTTGCAAAGAAAACAGCAGGGCTCGCAGAAAAGCTAAGTTGCTGCGAAGACAGTCCGAGTCATGGCTTTCAGCCGCGATCCTTTTTAAAACGCAGAATCCCTGCTTGGAAGTTTTCGAGTACGTGCTTCCAAGCATTCTGTTCGAAGGCTGGCAGCGATGTGGAGCCAGGCAGGATGCTTCTACAAATTTGTATTCAGGTACTGTCGGTGTTGCTTCTCTTGCACCGATCACGTCGGCAACGCGGCAATGCTGGAGTTCGAGTTTCTTGTAGTCTTGCAGATGCACGGGCAGGTGCAGCTGAAGCCACCTGTGCTTTCCTCCATCCCCGGGTGGCGCTGCTTCTGGTCCTCGTCGTCGAAGTCTTCGGACAGACCGGCACTTAGTGACTAACCGTTTGCTGATAGCCGTTGTCTCAGCGGAGTTGCAACCATCACCTGGCTTCCCAGGCATTGAAGCAAGGCGGTGTGCTGGGAGCCGATGCATGAAGCGACAAAGAATCTCAAAACTACGGCCACTGGCAGCCGCTATGCACTTGTGGTCTTGAAGTCTTAAATCTAGTGGCAGGAGCTGATAATCTCAAGGCATGCACAGTCCTGGCCTCCGATTCGAACTGGCTTGCAAGCATGTTTCGAGCACCGAAGGCGTGTTCTGATTCTGTGGAGATTGACTACTTCAGGACTAGATGTGTTATGTTTCCAGCGAAGACTAACTCTTCCCGGCACCAGACCGCTTGGCACAAGCACCTGGTGAGCAAAATTATGAAGGCTTACTTCAGCCTTGTGTAGAAGTTGCTCTAAGGCATGTAGGGAGCTGCAGCAGCGGCTTGGGCAGGGTCAGGTAGGCGAGATCCAGCCACATGCTGGCAAGCGCCATGCTGCGACTGCCGCGCAGCTGTGGCAGCTATGGCAGATGGCAGCGGTGTGGAGCCGGAGCTGGCATGGAAACAAACATTGATGCTGTGCAGCCAAGTTCCTCAGACTGGAAAGAAGCACCACATGCAGTGCATGGCAATGAAACATATGTGGGGCGTGCTTGCGCTAAGGCCATCACAGAGTATGGCCTACGGCAGCAGTGGCGACAGTCAATGCACCTGCTGGCAGCAACGACCTCAAGTTTCACAAAATTCGCGCTGTAGCTTGGCAACGGCAACTGCTTGCACCGAGGTCACAAACGAAGAAAGTGTCGCCCCAGACCTACAGCTTCCTGGCGGGAGCACCAGACTCAGCGTAGTTACCCGCTTTGGTGATCTGACTGCGAGGCTTTACAAAAAGGCAACCAATGCATGTCGCGAAGCTGGTCAGTGGGAAGCCTGCGTGCACGTGCTTCGCAACCTGGGCCAACTGCGACATGCAGGCGACGGCCAGGGTTTGCGGCAAGCAGATCCCATCGGGAAAGTCTTTTTTCCCCGTTGCTCTCTTGTCGCGAGTGGAATTAATCCTGGACAAAACAGATTTGTGAGAGCAACAACGCCCTGTTCGATGTTGATGTTGTTTAGAGTCACGATTAGCGTTCGAAACGGGAGGCCTGCAAGCCGACGTCGTGCGAAGCTCAGCGACTCCTTGTGGGGCCGAACATGTCAGACCCGTGACAGAGTTTTCATATCAAGTTCGGGCACCACCTACTCCGTTTGCCGGCATCAGAAAGCAAAAAGCATGGCATAGTTTCATAAAGGCCATCTTGTCTTTTGCAAAGAAACATCTGCATTTCTGCGGCTGCGCCGGCTCCAGCCAGGCTGCTGCCGTCAGCATCGAGTGGAGTACGAAGCAAGAATCTCGAAGTGATCTTGCAAACTCACTCGCTACGATCCTACACCACCCGGAGCACTATGTCACGAACGCGCGAACGAGCAAGCCGGCTGGTAACATCTAGTAGCACGTGCGCACCAGTTAAATCAGAGGAGGCAAGACTGTCTTGAAGCCTGAAAACGAGTGCATTGTGGCCCATCTGCTACATGGTCACACGGCGCTTTTTCCGTACAGACCCATCGTACACCGGGTGTTTTTACCCCTTTGTGTTTCCAGCTACGTGAAGTCCGCGGCTTCTGAAGCGCAGACGGTAATTTACAAAACTACTTCACCGAAAACAGCTTCGTTGTCTACTCAAGAAAATGAGACTCACCTCGCCGAGCTGCAGGGGCAGCCCGACGCACGAGACATTCTCAGACGCCCCTCGCCCTCCTCCCCACTTCACGGTATGGCAAACGGAGGGGATGGAGCCTAACATTGGTATTGCGACGCCACATGCTGGTGAGTCAAGCTATGTCTCTTTGAGGTGATCTTTGGCACTGTAATGGCTAGTGCTGCCAAGCTTGTCTCCTCCAAGAGCCCTTGGGACGTGGCCACGCTGGCAGCTCGGCCAAAGCCAGTCCTCGTTTAGTCGTCTGTCAGTTGTGTTTACCTTGAGGAAATACTTTCCTGCCAATGAGAACACTACCAGATCTTGAGGCAAAGTGGAGACGCAGTTTGCACATCCTGCAGGGTGCCACGCAGGTGGGAGATGGCGACGGCGCTAGCTAGGTTAAGATTATTGGCACAAAGGCTGAAGAAACAGCGAAAGCTCCTTGACAGGATGGAGTTCAGCTCGATCCGACGTTGATCGGAATTTGCATCTCTGCCTGTGGCAAGGCGATGCCTAGCTGCTCTCACAGTGTACCCGTGGATGCGAAGTTCAGCGGGTTTCCCGTGTCTTGAGCGTTGCGGAATGCATGAAATTGGCTCTTGTCTTTGGTCAGGGCAAAACATGGGAGTCTGCCAGCTTCCTACTGGCGGACATGCGCTGGAAGACTCTGCAAGTGGAGGATGCCTATGCAGGCCCCTGGGCACCCTCCCGGTAAGCCTCATGCATCTATTGCTTGGCGTTAGTTGAATGTAGCACATCGGTGCTGAAAACAGTAGTAGTGGTTTCATGCAGAAGCGGCGTTTGCCCACCGCGCTTGAAAAGCCACCTGTGGGCGCTTCCTGTTGGTGTGGATCCCTGCATAGCCGGAGGAGCGCAACTTGCTGCACTGAATTGCGACGATGGCTGGCCAGCGGCATTGGCGCTTTTCCGACGCTTCTCTTATTGTTGCGGAAATTTGTCGGTAGAAATCAGAAGAGGCTGGTTCCGAGCAGATTGGGGATCGTGAATTAAGATTCACGACCTGAGAAAAGCCAGCATGTCTCGCAACAAAGCTTGGGCTCTGAAGGCACCATTTGCACCAATCCATACCCCGCGATGCTTCCAAGCCGCAAGCTCCAAATCCAGAACCCCAGCAACCCCCGGCTGTACAAGCAGCCGATAGCAGCCGTGCACTTCACGGCCCCTGCAGGGAGAAGAGGTTGATAACAATATCTACAATACTCATATTAAACTTGCATGTGTTCATGCTCCATAGAATCGAAAGGAGAGGGTTCTGAGAGTGCTTTCACCAAGGTCCTTGGACTCAGAGACCCCGCCCGAGTATCTAATCACGAAACCAAGAGAAGTGTGTTTTGGTCTGCCACTGCATCCAACGTGGAGCCACACAGAATCCAGGCGATCTCCGGCATCGGCCGCAGCTGGCGCTGACCACGGCGTGATGCTCAGACGGAGGGCTCCAAACTTACGCTTTTCGAGAGATGACAAGTTCTGTCATAAAAAAGGGTGGCAAGAAAGGAAAGGAGACATTGTAATACAAACACAGACGCTGGAAATGCCAACAAGAGAGCTGGCAGTAAGACTTTCGATGTTGGAAACAGGAACCACGTGAATCAGCTGCCGCGGCGACGACAGCCAGAGCAGCCGTGGCGTAGTAGTAGTAGTTGTTGTTGTAGTTGTAGTTGTAGTTGTAGTTGTCGTAGTTGTAGCACTGTAGGGTAGTGGTGGTAGTAGTAGTAGTAGTAGGCCCCACTACCAACTACACGTGCTCTTAGCCATGTGAAGGCAGGATCCATATTATTCGGTATTTGCAGCACTGTCGTCATGTAGGATCATCTTATGAAGCCTCAAAATCGATTTGTCGAGTTTGCAAACTCGAGCTTGGGATTTTGGATTTGCTTTTTGAGTGGGGTGAGGGGGAGGGGGGATGATGACAACATTGTTAAGCAGACACCTTGAACAACATCTTCAGAAGAGCCGTTTTACTCGGAGTTTACAGTACTTTCGTGATGTCGGACCATTTTGTATAGTCACCAAACCTACTTCTGGACGTTGCGAACTCGACCGTCGGATTTTGGAGGGCTTTCGGCAAAAACTCGAAATTGGTTGGGGGAAGCTTCTCCGGGGATGATCACGACACTGTTTCGCGGACACCCCGAACAATATCTTCACACCCAAGCGCACACACACACACACACACACCACACTCCACACACCATTTCAAAAACAAACCCCCCTACGCCGAGGTCTGGGTTTTTCGGGGTGTTGGCGACCCCTCCCGAGTACAGCTGGCATTTTTTGATGCTTAGAAGATGTTGCACTTCAGATTAGGAGTGTTCAAACCTTCTTGGCAGCACCTGCGTTTTGCACGGTATTTGCAGCGTTTTCGTACTATCCGACCACCTGTGCTTCAGCAGTTTCTTCCCCGTCGAGTTTGCAACTCCAGCTGCTGTCGCAGTTTTGGGGCCTGAGCCTCTGCAACTTTACCGGATGTGACATTTCAGGAAACTGAGACACTGCAACTTCTGCAACGGTCGCAGAACGGGAGCCTGAGCCCTTGCATCTTCTGCAGCCTTCGCAGTTAGGGTGCCTAGCAGCGACCTCTGCCCAGCCCCGATGGAGCAAGTGCAGTTGAGAGGGGGTTAGTAGTAGTAGTCGTCGTCGTCGTAGTAGTAGTAGTAGTAATTATGCTAATATGCAGAATGCTAATAGCAATGACAATGATGCTTGTAGTAGTCGTCGTTGTCGAAGAAACGTCGTAGTCGTTGCAGTGGTGGTTAGTGGTAGTGGCTGCGACAGCATCGGCAGCAGGAGTAGTCGTGGCAGCAGCAACAGCAGCAGCTGGAGGAGTAGTCGTTGTAGGAGCGGGGCAGTAGTGCTGGTAGTAGCCCCGAAGGAACCTGATACCCGAATGGGCGCTTCCAGAGGCGGCTTTAAATGCTGCAATGCTCGCTGCCGATCTTGGGGAAAGACCGGGTCGTGCACTTCGCCTCCTCCTAGCGGCGACTGGGCAGCAAAAGTCGAATTCAGGCTGCAGGGCTTCTTTACAGGATCATGATGGAAGGTTGCCACTGGTTGCCTCTCTTGGCTTCGAAGAACGTCTGCAGTCAGGTGCGACGCCAGCAAACAGTACAGCTGGAGGTCGAGGTTTAAGTCAGCTTGAGATGTGTGGGACATGGAGCCTCTGTAGGGTTGGAGCTTCAAGTATTCCTAGCGTTTTCTGCCAGCGCCAGTTGTACTTAGCAGTCAGAAAAGCCGTGCGAGCACTGCAGCGATAGCAAGCAGCTTGTGTCCAGTCTCCCAATCCTCTCTGTCTCAGGAGGCTTCGTGCAGAGGCTCCGCAACTGACAGTACTAAATCCCGAAAGCCCAAGGGCCGCAAGCCTTGCCCCTAAACTTCGAACCCAAGTACCCAAGTACACCTGAAGGCCTCTGTCCCTCGCAACTAATTCCAGGTCCAGCGGCTTGGCCTTGTGGAGACGAATGTGCTGAGCGTGACGACGCGCGATCGGGTTTGGGGCATGGCTGCTTGAAGGGTTTGGGAATTGGGCTCACTGTTTGGGAGGTCTTCGGGTCGGGATCTGGAAGAGATGAGGGTACGGTACAGTGTGGGTGACAGATGTGAAAGCTCTGAAACTTAAGACTTTACTTCCACACAGCTGGTTGCAGCAAGCTGCAGCCTGTACTATACATTAGGTGAACCTTTTTTGTATCTGGAGCTCAGTTGTATCACCGTTCGTCAGACCAAGAAGAAAAACTTAAGACTTTGGGCCGTTTTGGCTGTGTCGGGTCTTGCTCACAGGGTTCAGGCGTTTCACAGTGTGCGTGGGCGAAGAGAGGGGTCGAGGAGTCCAGGTTGAAATTCTTCTTCATCGGTTTGCTGTAGCCTCGGTGAGCGCCCAGAAGTCCAAAGTCTCGCTGTGCCTAGGATGGGCTTGACCTGTTTGGATGGGATGATCGAAGGAACGAGCTGTGAGCCCCCTAGCCGTCGGGTGGCATGGCAGATGGCATCCAGGTCGGGGGTATATGGGAGCGACTGCTGTCGGATGGTTCGCGTTTTCCTGCTTCTGAGCCCTCCTGTCTCTGGACCCATCGGACAGCAGGATCTTCGATGATTCTCGGAAGAATGCCGTGGAGCCGAACCGAATTACCTACACCTGCCTGGTAGGCGCGGCTCAATTTCCAACAAACTCGGGGCTTGTAGTTTCAAGCATTCTTACTCTGAGGTGGAGGGCTTTGGGATGGTGTTGGCAAAGCGCACGACCCGAGAAAGTAATCACCAGGAAGGTGTTGTCAAGTTAGCCGCCGCGTTTAAACTGGGCCTAGAGGTTTAGGGATTCTCAAGGGTAGCATCGTACTACGGGCGGCTGCCCAGCCTTGCCAAACCCCACTACCATGGTTCTTGATGTTGTTATTCTGGCTCTGTCTTGGCCATAATGATGACGAGCCTGAGTGTTGCCGATTATATGTACACAATCCTCCACAAGACTTTGCCAACCAACGACTATTCGTGTATCTCGGTCTATGATGCAGGTCCGGTTTTGTGCAGTCGTTGACACGCATCGGACATCCATTTTTGTATACATGAGCGTAAACACGTGGAGCCCACAGAAGCCTTCTATGCCCCTCTTGTCGTCGGCACGACTGCATGCACCTGTGTATGTCGCTTAACAGTGCGTAGCCGAACATGTTTGCCAGATCGCTCTCATGCTTTTATGGTTGCATGCTGGTTTTTCGGCAGAATGCAGTGTAGCTAAGTCTCCCTAACATTAGGGTTTTCATGTCTGCGATGGGCACCATCTGTGCTTGTTCGTGCTATGAAATGCGGCTTCCGGAGTCACATGTTGAATCAGCACAGAGTTCCCTCTCCTGTGCAAATGGGTGGTGAAACAGACATGTTCACCCGGTGATACCCGTGCAAAATATCAATGATGCGGTCAGATGGCCGATGTCCACACTTCGGGTTGGTGGTCGGCCGTGCAGGTAAGCATGTGGCCTTAGGAGATGTCAAGAAACGCCGGCTGTTGACATCCAGAGCGAGTCATGCCTTCCTGTCCGCCACCGCATTATCCAAACTTCATTTAGGCCATCACTCGATATTTGTCGACAGAGGGTCCTTGGAATCGGCACGATAGCACGTATCGAGCATTGCGCAACCGGGCCGGAGTACTTTGATTGTGAGCAGAGGCTAACAAATTTAGGTGCAGCTATGCTGGACAATCTCGCAACATCTAATTCACAGTGCACAGCTGGATTCCATTGCCTCACGTGTTTGTTCCTCTTGTTCTTGCTGCTAAATACTGTAGGCAAACTGATTACGAAAGTATGCTTGATCTGCTGACACACGCTGGCCCGACTGCCACAGTAGTACTGATACGATTACTATTATGTCGTCGCCTTTGCAAGGCCTAGAAGACAAGGCTGGGCGCTGGGAGTCCGCACAGCTATTGGTGCACCGGTCACGATTGGCCCGGGTGGCTTTTGATTCGGCTGCCTACCGAGCAGTGACTCGACTGGTGACGCATGTTCTCGGGAGTTAAGGACGTAGCTTTGGCGACATTGTGAGACGGATGGGGTTTCAAATATGCAAAAGCTTGGCATTGTGCACAGTCTAAACATTCAATGCCCCCTGTTTCACGGAACGTCGAGCTTGCTGCGTATTGAGGCCATGCAGGTGACGATGGGCCAGTGGTCTGGAATGGCTCCACTCTCGCTGCCACGGATCAACCATCCAGCTGCCAGGTCAAGTGCAGGTTCGCAAAAAATGGAAAGACCTTCACACCTCGCCATCTGCTGGAGAATCTAAGCAGTCTCTCCACTGGCTTGTAGGTTGCTTCACATATGGAAAGATTACATCTTCACTCTGCTTCTGATGCGGCTTAGTGTACAGCTCCAACGTGTTGTGAGAGAAAAGTCTCGGGACCTCCATGTAGAAAGCAGGAATGACAGAAAATGCAAAGGCACATGCCCGTGGTCAGAGCCCACTTGTTAGTTAAGCTTTACATCAGAAGCAGCTCCCCGGTGAAGAGAAAGAAAGCCTGGCCATGAGCCGATCGCTGCTGCGTGTACCCCTGGCAACGTCCCTGGCGCGAACCACCAAGGCAGTAGCTTTTTCCGCCGTGAGTTGCATCGGTGAAGGGCTGCGGCTGGAAAGTCAGGTGAATGAGGCAAAGTAAAATTAATTACTGAAAGTGTTTCTGGCCCAGTTTGATGACAAGCACACGCATTTTGCGAGGATCCTGACCGATCATAGTCACCATCATTGTCATCATCATCACAGCACGTATGGCGCGAGGCGGCTCTTCCACGGTACCGCCTTGCACCGCGGCAAGACGACCTGCGACATGCGACACGAAGGTGGCTGAGCTCCGGCACTACATGCTTTTGAGCACATGGGTCACAAGAAGCAGATTGATCCTGCTACAATCCAAACACTCCTTTCATACTTCAGAAGCTTTGCGCATCCAACTCAGCATTCGGCAGTACACAGGATCCGCAAGCGAAGCGTGCATGCTCCAACTTTGCGTTCGCTTTGAAGCAGACACTGGAGTGGCGTGCAAGGCCGGGAAGCTGGGACGCAGCGATGTGTGACGAAGAGAACATTGACGGTGATGAGGGTGAGAACCTGTTTCCTGACGCTTGGCCAACCTGTAGTATCTCAGCTTTAGCGTTGCGTTTCTGTCGGACATAGCATACTCGAAAGTTCTGCGACCGTAGATCACCACAGCCATCAGACCACGCATGCCCGTGTCTCCTCTCCCTACTAGAGGGATTCGGCAAGGACGACAGCGCGTCGCTGGCCACCCGGGACCCTTGGTCTTGGGTGCCGGAAGCAGGCCCGCGCAGGGAGGTTGCACTTGTGCATCCTGGCTCTCGTGAGGCATTGTACCCCAGTGGATCGTTTTGTAAGGCCCCAAGCACAGACCGCTGCAGGCCCCAGCTACTATGATGAGTTTTATGGACAGATGTCCAACAACAAATGGAGAGCCAAGCGTGATCCTCAGAAAAGGGTACAAGCCGAAGCCAGCTGCAGCCGCGCATCAGGCGCACAACAACATGTTGCACCAAAGTTTCGAGTGCAAATACGAGCGGAAGTAGACGGCCGAAGTGTCAGTTCATGGAGATAGCGACGCAACAGCGCGCGTGCGCAAATCTGTGGAGATGCGCGTGCGTGTTGTTATCATATCTATCACTAATCGTGCCGAGGTGGTGGAACCCAGCCGCAGGCCATCCGGCAGTGGGGCAGTAGTCAGCGTACTACATGCCTGTGCAGTTGCCAGCTCTAGAATCGGGCATTGTGAATTATGCAGGCTTGCCTCAGCAGCCCGGGCGACGGGCCACCATACAGGCAGATATTGCCCAATTGGTTGCCAGCGGCCAGCCCAAGGAGAGACATTTTATCAAAGCTGCTTACATACATAGATGACACTATCACGGCTTCTTATTGCGATCCCTGTCAGGAGGAAGTTTACCGCGCCATCCGCGAAGCCTACGATGTGAGCGGAAGTTTCTTGGATGAGGAGGACGATGACCGCGATAATTCCGATAGATAGCCAAAGGCGAATCTGACAGCTCGGAAAATTGCATATTCATGATTTCAACAAATCTTGGTTATCCGAGATAATCTTGATTCGAGTCAATCATATGGA